CATTCTTTTCGACGAATTCAAAAACCGTCACGCGACACCTGAAAAGAAGGGATAACCGGATGAAGAGGACCCGCGGTTCGGTTAAATAACCGGATCGTGAAAACACTGTAAACACAACCAACACACCCCCCCCGAGTGAGCCCAATCAGCCGGATAACGCGAGAAGGCAATATTAAGTTAGGAATAATATCCGGTTAAAATTCTAATAAACCTCCATTGACAGTGAGCTATTCCCCCCCCCATGGCGTTGCTTCAAACAGGCGATTCGATATGCGGTGGCCGACTCCATTTGGAATGATGTGCCAACAAACATCAACAAGCAGCGAGCGGTTGCGATTGCATGCGATGTTTGGGCGAATTCGACGAGCACGGCTGCCATTCAAAATGGCTTTGTGTGCACTGGATTGTGTCCGTTGTCTCTGGACAAGATGATGTACCGGCTGTCGCTTTCCAAGCCATCTGCTCTACCAAGCAATGAATTGGATGATTCCTGGGTGCAAGAAATCGACATGGTGCGTGGCGAGGTACGCGGCAAAGATCTTCGGAAAAGACGTCGAAGAAGTCCTCGAAAAAGACCTCGAAAGTTGGAGGCACGTTTATTACGTCGGCCTACAACGAGTTGCTTCAAGCTCAAGCTGCAGCCAAGCCAAAGCGCAAGAAGAAGAAAACTGGGCAAGGGGAAGTGGCGTTGCCGGTGCACCCAGCGACGGCAACGTAGTTGTTGAATATGTTGTGTAGGATGTAAATCAATCCATTGCATTTGAAATTTTTTTTTCGATTAAATTCTATAGGACGAGGTTTATGCTTCGAATTAATTCTATTGGACAGTTTATTTACGTATGAAGCCACTACACTTACTTGGATTTAATTCGATTGGATATGGTTTGAGTAGAAGTACAGTGAATTAATTTTATTGGACAGTACATGTATGTATGAAGTGAATATTTTACGTTGTGGAGCTTATTATGTGAACACAAGACAGGAAATCATACATTGATATAATAGTAACGTTTATTGGGATTTAACAGTTTTCCAAAGCATCGTGCCCACCTCGAAGGATGACCTTCACTGGCTAACCGTTGTCCTGCCCCCTTACCATCTTCCGTTGTAGAGAAGTATTACAGCCTGGGGTACTAGGCGGACGCGGGCGCACTTGATGGTGACGAACATTACGCTGCAGGCACTCGCAATGGGTGCCAGGGAGGATAATTGAGAAATGAGAAACTTTTATTGGCATCACTCGTTGACAAGGAAAACCATTCAGGCACAGCATAACCAGCCAAGTTTTTCTTTCTGCGCCCGTACTCTGTAATGAGAATTGATGGCCTGGAGCATGCCGTACGCTTGGTGTGAGTTTTATCCGTTCGAAGATTGGTTGACACAATTCTTCAAAATCTTATTCCTGGGGCTCAATGGAAATTCTGCAACTTTGGAATTCATTTCTGCGAACATGAACTGTCTAAACCGATTGCGTTTAGGTGTACCTGATAGTGCTTGACGCAGCCGTTCAGAATATGTCATGGTCATACCTGTAGCACAAATACCCGCGGAGGAATTCATCCACGAAAATCGAAAAATTTCGGCCCATCACTGGTCGATCACGTTACTTTGTGTTGGAGACGCTGTCTCCAATATATCCGCTATTGAAGTTCGTACACGCTTGTCGACCAAGTGTACGAAACCCACCTCGCCCTCAAACCAAGTGCCAGCTAATTTCTAGGCACAGATATCGGGCCACAGATCTATGCAAAGCTGCAATGCAGAAGACATCGGTAGCTGAACCTCCACCAAGTGTACCATATGTGCATTGCATCCCCAATCAACGTGTGTGTGTGGTGTCTTGTTGCTGAATTTATCCACGGCATGTCTCTCTATACTCCTTGCATATGTCATACTCGACTCCACGCGCAGTGAACTCGACCCGACTTCGGAGGAACTAACCGCTACCTCGGTTTCCCACGTCTACCAGTCCACCAAGGTCACCCCGCATTCCCTAGGTTCTCTGAATCGACTGATCCACCCCCTTTGTGCCCGCCCTTACCAGCTACCACGGGTTCCCTGAGTTACTTGTAATTTCCCAGCACCCCGAACATGGGCATTCTTCGTAATTGAATTGTATAGCAATTACTTTGCTGTTGGGCTTACTAATTTAAACCGCCCTCATCCTTGAACATTTAAACTCACTTTCCAAATTTAGGGCAAAAATTGGCATAAACGTCTAACATGCCGCCCAAACATACAGTTGTTATGATGTTTGTTATGGATGAATAATGCGAAAGGTCCGGCCAATGTCATTGTTTGTATGACTAATTTTAGCCAATCATAGAACATTAATTTTGAACTAGCCAATTATACGTATTGATCATATAATTTCTGTCCAATAGTATCGGTTTGTCATACACCATCTTCAAGTGGAGGTCAGATATGCGTTAGTGGTCGGACCATTCAAAAGTTATGCAATATGAGCACACAAAAATGAAGGTCAACCCATAATTGTTACTCCCATAATTGGTCAATAATATAGCAACCCCGATTCACACCAAGTATGGTCCGCCTGCGACCACGGCCAACGGTGAATGCCAGAGCTTCGGGTATCAAGTCCTTCCTCAAGTTCCTCGAGTCCGAGAGCGTCGAAGAGCACCATGCGAAGGATTGCATCCGAAAGGATACGACATACCAATGTTTTGCCTCTGTCATGGAGAAGTTTTCTACGTACCTTGCTGCATGTGAAAAGTCACCCGGGATGCCGCTATCCAAGAACTCATGCATCCAGTACTTCCGACAAGCGAAGATGAGCCTACTCGACGAGCTCCCCCACCTACAGCCTGTTGGCGGCTCCAAGCTACTCCGAGTGGGCAAGATACTAGAGAACTTTTGCGCCAAGAAAGACGGCGGAGCGGTAGTGAACCAGGAAGCTGCGTGCTCCAAGGATTACTTAAAGCGATTGCTTATGTATATCTATAAGAGCGCGTCCTCATGCAGCGACTATCAAGACGCATCCCTGTTGGCCTTGTTGTGGTATCTGCATGGACGGGCATCCGACTTGGCAATGGTGCGGAAGAACAACGTGTCCATTGATGCTGGCGGTGTGTTTTTCCTACGCTTCGTACGTGTTAAGACTAGCGAGGAACAGGGACTGTCCATATTCCCGGATAATGTCTTCCGTTGCTGGCGATGGCGTTGGCAACCATTTACCAAGGCCGGCCATGCGCAAACGTCATCGACAACTTACCAACTTAATCTTCATCCTCAGCTTCGAGTCTTGGCCCAACAACTGCATTGATCGATGTTGTACGTGATCCTGGCGTTATTGAGTTCGACAAGGAAGAGTCAACGACCAAAGGCTCACCAACTATTCACAGCAACATCAATCGAATTCTTGGACGAATCGGCGGACCCTCCGGCGTTGAGGAGAAGCTGTAGTCGCATTCCTTTCGTCGCGGGGGGACACAGCATGCCAGTGGCTCGGAGCACTTGACGGCTAGGTGGATCTTCGATCGTGGGGCGTGGAATATTTCGGCCACCAACAAGGGCTTCAACCACATATTCAACACGTCAAGTGAAGATCACAAGGTCGCTAAGCACCTCAGCGGTCGGACGACATCCCAACCTGTCCCTCTTCTTTCCCTGGATATTTTCGACGCCCAAAGTCGAGATCGTATTCGAGATGTCCAAACCCACCTTTTTGCAGCGTGTTCTGGCCTCGATGGACCTACACTCAACTTCAACCGACGTGTGGTGGACACACTGACGGCTTACCTGTTTCGCCACTACCCCCGTTTGAAGGAGCTCAATACACATGGACCTGCTGTAATTCGCCTGGAAGCGTGCATGCGGCTTGCGGGTTGCTCCGAAATTGACCTGCTGGCGTGGTCATCGCACTTGACGACAGCACCAACGATCCAACAATTGCCCGAGAGGCTGCAACAACACTCAACATCGACGTCTGAGACCACCGAAAAAAGCCTCATTCGTCACCAGGCAGCCCTCATTCAAGGTTTTATTCAGGCGGGACGGCGTCAAGAAGAACGGCTCCAAGCCCTGGAGGTAAAGTTGGAAGGTCGCGGCGACTACAAGAAACGAGAATCTGTGAGCCACAAAACCACCGACACGATCCCCGCCACGAAGAAACACCGTCAAAGCTCGTGTTGAAGTCGCTACAAACAATGCGGTTCGAATGGTATGCATGGATGATTAAAGTCAACATTGATGTCGAACATATTACCGTAACGTTAGTACTACATGACTACTGTATTCCCTCGTCGCATAATTATAGTACTCGTATCATGTAGCCTGCATTTGATTGTCAATAGTGTTTCGCGATGAACATGGATTTGTGATTGAATTATAACATCATTGTACAGGAGTGTTTTCATTGGTTAAATATGAAATTGTAGGCAATCTCCCTATGAATTCCATAAATAAGTCATTCTACGGAATTCATAGGCCAGAACTTGACGTTTGTATGCAATCGTAGGCGCACACCCCTACGATTTCGCCATTTCGAAATCCTCCACCTCATTTTTTCCCAAGTTATTTACGAATTTGTAGCAAAAATAAATTTCGAAATTCATTTGTGAATTGACGAAATTTTAGGGAGCTGGTCCTATGATATTCATATCCAATGAGATCTAATTGCCGGACTCCAATTGACCAAATCCTCCTCTATCGTACACGTCACATGCCAAAAGCGAATGTGAGACGTCCTAATGGTAATGCCATTGATAGCATTATGTATGTAGCAGTACGCAAGTTGTGCTGCGTTGTATTAGTATGCAGTAGGAAGGAGCGATCGTTATGGAAAAGTTATTTATAGTGATGTGTTGATAGTCGAGCTGGACGCGTTTTCGAATCAAGACGCCAGTAATCAAGAAATATCTTGAACCATCAAACCAATTACGTAGTTTCGGGGTTTCGGGGCATTGGGCAACTCTAGTATTGGGATAAAACCTAGTATAGTCCTCTTTGACACTGACACTCTAACCACTGCACCACAGCACCAGTAGACAAGAAATATCTTGAACCATCAAACCAATTAGTATAAAATACGTGTTTGCTCAAAAAATGCAGTTGCTGTTGTGTGGTTGGCTACAATTATTCTCGAATTTCGAAGTCCTTAAGCCAATCACATTACGATTTCATGCAAAATTCGAAGTGCCAAGTGTCCCTTAACTGTAAAGTCCCTCGTCGTCTGTACTACGTAGTATTTCGTTTTCATTCTCAACATTTTATCAAATAGATACGTAATAGATACGTAGAATGAGAGATCTTTACGTGGTGAAGAAACTCTACGTCTCAGATTTAAATTTGGTGAAGAATTGATCAAGAAATAGACAGTTAACCAAGCGGTATTTTGCATGGGCGAATTGAATTTGGCCTCAGGGATAGTACTGAGATATATCTTGATTTTTGTATGAGCCTAGAATCCGCACATAATATCCAGAAGCCAGACTGTTTCTGGCCAATGATAGGCCAGCTAAGCAGTCCGATAATGATCACTTTTGGTTTTGTTCTCGACCACACAAGCGTTCCTCGTCGTTCCTCCTCAGTGCTACCTTCCTCTTGACAGGAATGATAGGTTTTACTTTGTTGAGCCTTACTATTTACTACTCTGGTCTGAAATGATAGTAGTGATGTTTTATCTTGATTGAAGTATAGTGTGGCCCTACAAAACATCTTGTAGTATGTATTGAACCTTAACAATGAATAAGGCTTGATGAAAAAATAATCACTTCTTATTTTATTACAACTCTGCCTGTTTGTAGAGAATTCAACGTCCGCTCAAGTGATCGACAGCACGGTCGTAGATAAGTTGATCACACTTGACATTGAAGAGAGTCAAGTCCTTTATGGAAGCATCCTTACTCAAATGTGGGAGCTTGTAATCGTTTGTACCCATACTTTCAGTGTCTTCTCCATCACCTTTTGCAAGGTAATAAAGGCTTTCGAAAGTGTATCACAAGGCAGCTCATATAATGAGCTTTCTACAGCATCAATAAGCTCCTCGACTGTTCGAGTACACTTTTGACTCTGAAGACTTTGAATACTGTTAAAATATCCTAAATGTAAAATGTTCATGTCAGGGCTGTTTGGTGGTTGGTTAATGGTGGCGATCCCTTGAACGCCTCGACTTGCCAGCATCTTCGTGGTGACGCAGTTGTGGGGGCTCGTATTGTCTTGTTACAGTACAACATGATCGTGCCCGTCTGACCACGCCTTGGCATCTTTGCTTGGATTGCAGGTACGACCTTGTCCAAGATCATCGAGCAGTAAACGTCCGCCGTGACGCTTTGAGGGATGGTAAGCAGGTAGGTAGTCCAGGAAGGGTCATATACCGGTCTTGCCGTCGAACATCGCCTTGTTGTGAAAGTCGTAGCGGGGTCTAGCCACCGCCGCCAAAAACATGACTTTGGTAATGAACCGCTTCGACTTGACCCGGCTGGTTGGGATAACCATGTAGGCATAGAACTTTCTCTTCACCTGCGTCAAAAAGAACCACTTTTAGTGGACATGAAATGTACGAATTCATATCGGCGAAAACTTGGTTCCCATTTGACGTAGGTTGGAGGAAGTTCATGACATGCTTCATCTGTGCGGCCGTGTTGGCGTCGGTCAAGCGGGGTCGGACACAACTTGATCTTGCTTGGAGTTGCTTCTAGTCCTTCATGTGCTGCACAATGGTGGTCTTGGGGATACCACTGTGTGCTGCAAGCGCTCGTAGGGTCTATCGAGCATACGTGTCCACGCCTTGGACTGCCGCCTTGATTTTGTTGTGCGTACGGACCCTTTTTGGGCCGGAATTACCTTAAGATGAAATCTTGTAAGACGTAATACTCGTGACAAATGGTAAATACTGGTAAAATATTATATTAGAGAGGTGTTACCGCGAATTTTTGAGCTGACGTCGGCGGTCCGACTGCCTTGGCTCGTCCGACTGCCTAGAGACTCACGAGCTCGTGCCCACAAGCGTGAAATGGTTGACTAGTGACATTGGTAGGTTTAAGCGTGCCTTACGAAGGCTCCACGTGACTGTTTGAGCTAACTTGTAGCAGCGATTCATAGATGGCGATACGCTCCTCGTGTTGAAGGGTTCTTAGTCCTCGAGATGAAGCGACAGACGGTAGAGAGCTCGGTGGCGTAGCAGACAGCATCAATAGAGCCTTACGAATGTATCTTGTATTGGAAACGACGGTCCAATTTGATAAATGAGCTCTCGGCGGGTATGTGTGTTTGAATTTTCGTTGCGACTTCGATTTCAACAAGAACACGGCAGAATACATTCCACGAACATTGAAATTGAACATTTTAAGCGCATAACGTCTATGTTATTGACTGGCCCGGGCAATCCCCGGTCCTAGATTCTATTGGAAACATCTGGGGCTATCAGATTTACAGCGTTCACGATGGTGGTAAGCAGTGCAACTCGAAACAGGAGGTCAAGATTGGCATCACCCATCACGGACAGTCCTCACCCTTCGCATGAAATAGGGGTGTCTCGCGGTTCTGGCCTGTAAAGGAATGATCACTAACTACTAGGAGCTTAAAATCCATGAATGCATTGTACCATTTCAATCGCTTTGGGGTCTCAACTCTTCTGCTCTCGAAGTGGTTATATCCTTTCGCATCGGTGGTAAAACTTAATCTTTTTCATTTCTCACTGACGTTTTCTAATTTTGACATGCTTCAAAGCTAGAAATGTGTATTTTATTAATACAAATCTTTGCATACTTTCAGCTTAATTTAATTCGTAGCCAACAAAAAAACAATCAAGAAAAACCTAGTGGTTATAACCTTTTGCATCGATCGCACTGTAGTAGTAATAAACAATTGTATCTCAATCAAAATACTGTAGGTTATTACCTTGAAATGGATATACCGGTATTACTACACCTTTTTGCAGTTAAGTTGGACGAATGCCCGGTATATTTGGTCGTGTGCCCGATATATTTGGAGGTGTGCCCGATATAATTGGCCATATGACCGTTAAATTTGGCACCCGGATGTCGTGTGCCGATATAATTGGCCGTGTGCCCAAGCAAGTGCCCATATGCCCGATGAATTGTGTCGTGTGCCCGATGAAAATGGAAATCACGCAATAAAAAGTCAATTCAATATAGAAATGGTCGTCAAACGACACATGCCGCATCGTTGCTGTGACGTCACATACCAACGCCCATTTTTGCCCATGGCCTCTGCGCGTTGCGTATACTTTGTTCAAGTCAATCCATTGAAGTCGATATATTAATAACAGTATATTCTATCTATTCCAGAACATTGAAGTCGATATTTTTACTTGAACAAAGTATACTGTTGCCCCTGTACTTCAACGTTTTGTCCATACTTCAAACTCCGTCCGAATATTTGAATATGTCGCGCGCAGAGATCATTTTTCGATATACCTCAAGGAACGCACCCACGATCGACGCGCGAAGGCCATGGGCAGCATGGGCGTTGGTACAGTATGTGACGTCACAGCAACGATGCGGCATGTGTCGTTTGACGACCATTTCTATATTGAATTGACTTTTTATTGCGTGATTTCCATTTTCATCGGGCACACGACACAATTCATCGGGCACATGGGCAATTGCTTGGGCACACTGCCAAATATATCGGGCACACCGCCAAATATATCGGGCACACGACATCCGGGTGCCAAATTTGACGGGCACATGGCCAAATATATCGGGCACACCGCCAAATATATCGGGCACACGACCAAATATACCGGGCATTCGTCCAACTTAACTGCAAAAAGGTGTAGTACTGTAGAGACGATACGGAAGGTTTGGTCAAGACATCAGGTTTCACCCAACAACTTCATCCAATATAATGCAATAGAGAGATTTTGCACCAAGAATCCACACGAATTTTCGAATACAATTTCCTGAAAATTCTTCGAGGAATATCATGCTGGGAAGGTGCTTTTGTATAGGAAAAATTCACATTTACAGTGAAGCAGAACTACCGCTGTGTGCGTTGTTGCGGCTCTTCTGGAGCACCTGGAGCACCTGGAGCACCTACCAGTAGGGCACGCCTCCCAATCTTTACGCATATCAACAACCCCGTGCAGTAGGTGCAATGTGTGCAGTTTGTGACCTTGCACCACCTCTATAGGCTGTACAAACATGACCGCTTTGAGGTGGTCGATGAACACAGGGATATGAGCATCTGTTGGCCGGTTTACGCTCGGCACTATCCCATCCCACCGCTCGCCTACGTTGTCCTCGCTCATCTACCAGTACGTCCTACCTACCACTCATCTACGTTTGGTGCCGACCAATGTCATCCACGCTTTATTTCAACAATTATAATATATTAACCATAGTATCCAAAATTGGTATTACTATACTAAAATTTAAAGCTGTCCCCTGAAAATATCGAAGTAGCAGGCGAACTGGTGGTGCTATCGGGAGCCACTGTGGTAGTGGTGGAATCCGATGTGGTCACTGGAGCCGTCGTCGTGGTAGCAGGCGAATTGGTGGTGGTGACGGGAGGTGGTGGTGATGGGAGCTGCCGATGTGGTAGAGACAGAAGCTGTGGTAGTAGAAGGTGGCTTGGTTGTGGTTGCAGTAGCCTTGGTGGTGGTAGCAGGAGGCTTGGTGGAGCAAGGAGCCTGGAGCTTTGGAGGTGGTAGCAGGAGTCTGGGTGGTCTCAGGAGCCTTAGTGGTAATGCTAGGAGCCTTGGTGGTGCTAGGAGCCTTGGTGGTGCTAGGAGCCTTGGTAGTGCATGGGGCCTTGGCGGTCGTAGCAGGAGACTTGGTGGTGGTAGCAGGAGCCTTGGTGGTGGTAGCAGGAGCTTTGGTGGTCCCAGGAGCCTTGGTGGTGGTGCCAGGGGTCGTAGGGTTGGGAGCTGTAGTATGTGGAGCGTTGGTCGTCGGCTTGCATGGGATCAACGTTGGAAAGAAGTGTTCAATGAAAGTTAATGTTTGCAACTCCGAGGTGCTTGCACCTTCAGCTGCACTGATGGCTAGCAAGAGGCTGATGAGTGCGATGGTCGAAACGATGTAGCAATTTTTAACCATGGGTACGTTTGGGTGTCTACGGCCGAGGCAATTCGAGAATGATAAGCCACAGGAATTATCACACACATCTGACTAACTTTTTGACGCAGTTAACTCATTTCGAACGACGCCTCGTTGCCTTGAAATAGACGAAAATCGACGGAAAGCCCCACGCGTCATTGTCTTGCAGACATTTCATTGAGTGTTCGATTCAACGGCGTTCCTTTTGAGGGGTATGCAGTGGTCGTTCGCGACATGGACGCACAAAAAACACGGTCTTCCAAGTGCTCCTGGTCTCCAAAGTTCTCGTACTCTATCTTCACGGCCTTCGAATTCGTCACCAATGTCGTCTTCCTTCTCCTTATCGACTTCGCTGTCCATGCGGCGCCATACGATGCGTTTCCTGCTGCGAGCCCTAGTCGTGGCGGACAATCTCAACCAAGTCCAGATCGGATCCACAATTGAAATCGACTGCTGCTTTCTGATGTTGTTAGGGCAGGATGAGTACAGAAACGCTCCACACAAGAATTAGGGAATCACATGTAGAAAATGGGGAATCGTATGAAACTGTAACGTTACAAATACTATATAAGGTAATGTGGTCCTCCACATGTACCAAATCGCCTCACGACATCACAGCCAGCCACGTCATGACTTGACTTTTTTATGCACATACATATTTCCATACTAGATTGAAAACAGGTAAATCGACTCGGGGCATCACAGCCAGCCACGTCATGACTTGATTTTTGCAAAATTCCACATTCATTGTACTCGGTCACGTCAACTAACAGTAATTTGTGTTAACTGTAAAGTGGCAAATCGATTAGGACGTTCCATATTTAATCAACCATGCACTTACATTTACCGTAATTCTTTTTCGTAAATACAATCTCGATACAACAATCAAAAATTTAAAAGTCTTCCCTGGAGATTCCAGCCAACCAATTTTAAGCCTTAAATTTTTAATGCACATAAAGACTTCATATAAAAAATGCAAATCGACCCAAACCAGCAAGCGCACTTTTTACAGTGGTAAAAATTAAAAACACAGAAACCCTACGCAGCTGCAGAAGCAAACATATCAATATTTCACTTTTCAACAATGAGCGTTTCAACAATTATATGTTCAGCTGGAATGTCAACCACGTTTGGACTAGTGGTTAACATGCAATCCAAGGGTTTGCGCCAGCAAACACCTGCATTGCATGTAACCCCGGGGAATTAGCATTAAACGTTCTCCAACGGGGTGTCCTGGGATTTCCTTTTGTACTTCCTTCAGGGTTTTCACGGGTGTTTTTAGGGTGTGCACACTTGTTTATAGTAAATAGAAGCGAAGTTGGATACGCTATTATGGGGATTTTACAGGCATTAGTACGGTAGCCGCCAATGCTAGATTACCCCACTTCAACCTACTCCAACCAGCACTAATTCACATCACACGCGTGCAAAGCCGCGTCAAGTTCACGTTTTGATTGGCTGAAAGCAAAGAACATAATTTTGACTAATCACATAATTATATATATTGAATCAATCAGCGTTGAGGCAGATGTAGCCGTGAATGCTAGATTATCCCACGTCAAACCCCAACCAGCACTAATTCACATCACACGCACCCCCACCCGTGCGAAGCCGGGTCACGTTCACTAGTAATTCTATACAGTAGCTACAATGGCTTGGCGCTGGTTTCTCGTTGGTACATGTGCTCGATTTACCAACAAGAAACTGACCCAAGCCCACGACGGACCCCGAACTTCGCAAGTCGTTTGATGTGGTCTTACCATTATTGGCTCGAGCTGTGTGGACACAACAAGAAGCGCAAACCGCCACACGATCGCAAAGAAAGTGGCGACGACATCGCGCATTCTCTATGAACTGTAGTTCCCGCGTATTGTAGATAGTTGTTGTCCAATTGTACGTTGCATCTTACTTTGTCCATCGGATACAAATTATGCCAAAACATACTGTTTAACATGTAAGTATAGGTCATGATTGGTCGCACAATTTGCACATGTCTCAATTAATAATACAAGTGCTACTAGGGTGTACTGTAGTAACGATTACAGTGATCCCCCGATTTTGCAGCCTGGTATAAACTAATATCCCATGTAAAGCTATACAATATTAATTTCAAGAGGGATTAATACAATTTGAAATTCAAACGATTGTAGCCAATCCGGCGCAAAAACCGCAGGTCATCGACATTTGATCTCAGTGCAATCACACAATGCCAAGCGACTGACGCTCATTCAAAAAGACAGAGTACGAGCATATTACAGCTGCTCTTCCGACCGCACGTTATCGATTACATGTACGTGGATCACACAGGAGGTCGGCGTCATCGTGCATCCCACTACTGTTGGTCGCATTGTTCGGGATGATCGCACCAGCTCAGCAGCAAACATTGATGCAGACGTCACTGCGTCACGCTACAACATCAAGGGACCAAAGTTAACTGAGCTTGACACTTAGTTGGCGGCTTGGGTACAAAATTCTCTCCGTAAGTTGCGTATTGGCGATCCCATGTCATTCGATGTACTTTTGAGTTAATAATGAAAGTACAATCTGTTTACTCCTCAAGTACTTGTTTATATCAATATATACCGGGTATAACAGAACGTGGAGGTTAAATGCTCTTTGAAAACTAACAAGCTCTAGCATAGCGTGGCCAAATAACCTATAATTGCCTTATTCAGTCAGGTATTTAGCCGAGGAACGGGTAGGAAAACCTCCTAATATGCATAACCCTTGGCGCTGATACCTCTATCTTATTATTTTCCGACCAGGCTGCAAAAATCGGGGGATCACTGTAGTCAAAAGTAAAATACCAATCATGTATCGTGGCACGCAAGATGTCACGGCACTACTGGTAGGCACATGCGTAAAGTTCATGATTGGTCGCACAATTTGGCACATGTCTCAATTCATAATACTATAATACCACGAGTACTACTGTATCTATATATAGCCAAAATGTTGAACCTGCGAACTCCATCCATCCAGCACTGGACCAAGTGCCTGCACAGCACCATTTCACATCAGGCCAGTAACATGGAACCCCCCCTGCCGTCCAACGACCACCCGCCTCGCACTCTCCACGACGACGACGCCTCGCTCCTTCCGACCACCGCTGGCCCAACATCAGACGTCCGAACTAAAGCCATCGAAGAGGCGGCGCCGCATCCGATCACGTACCGCGCCGACATCGACGGCCTCCGAGCGTTGGCGGTGGTGCCCGTGATCCTGTTCCACGCGTACCCGGAGCGATTTCCCAGCGGATTCATCGGCGTGGACGTGTTCTTTGTCATTTCCGGCTACTTGATCTCGAGCATCCTCTTCAAAGAGTGCACCAAGGGCACGTTCACGTACGGGAGCTTCTACAGCCGCCGCATTCGCCGCATCTACCCCACTCTTCTCCTCGTGCTGTCTCTAACGTTATGGCTGGGCTGCCTCTACCTGCTCTCGGCTAAACTCCAGGCGCTGGCCACGACCATGCTAGCGGGCACCATGTTCAGCGCCAACCTCCAGGTCATGCTTCTGGACCGCGGGTACTTTGACGACGACATCAAGGAGAATCCGCTGTTGCACTTGTGGTCGCTGGGCGTGGAGGAGCAGTTCTACATCTTCTGGCCGTGCTTTGTATCCATTCTGACGCGGCTGCCGGTGCGGTCGGCCGTGGTGATGCAGGTGGCGGTGCTGGCGTTGAGTTTCACTTGCAACATCTTCTTTCTGGGCTTTCACGGCACCAACAAGTATTCGTTCTACTTTCCCCTGAGTCGGTTCTGGCAGATGGGCATGGGGGGCCTACTGGCGTATGTGAACCACATTCGCCTCACCCAAACCCAGTACGCGTCTGTCCCTACCAGTTCCAAACCACTGTGCAAAGCCACAAGCGACCACCAAGCCACTGGCTTGTCTTGGGTCGGGCTCGGCTGCATCGTGCTGAGCTTTGCCTGTCTGGACGAATCCTCCGCCTTCCCCGGCTACTGGGCTGTTCTGCCCACACTGGGCACCGCCCTCTTGATCTTTGCAGGTCCTACTGCCTGGTTCAACCAATCGGTGCTCAGTCTGCCGTCCATGGTGTTTGTGGGCAAGCTCAGCTACGCTCTGTACCTGTGGCACTGGCCACTCTTAGTGTTTGCAAAGTTGCGGTTTCCTAACCCGGACTTCCGGCCCAACTACATGACACCCATGGCAATGCTCGGGCTGGCGTTTGTCTTGAGTCTGAGCTCCTTGTACCACGTTGAAAACAGCTTGAGAAGACACAAGGGTCGGTGGGTTGTACCAGCTCTAATGGGCTGCATGCTGGGCATGTCCATATTGGCAGGGATCATCCTCGCAAGTCCAGACTCGTTCTCGTACTCACAGCAAGCCATGAATGCGCGCGCGGCGTTGCCTGAGACGGTGTTGACGCCCAGTGTCACAGTCGGCCTGGTGCCAGACATCCCCAACGTTAGCCGCGAGAATGCCACGAAAGAGCCAACCCATGCTTCGATCATCGCGGCGGAGCTCGACATTCTGCCAGACATTGGGCTTCCTATTCCCAAGCAGCACGTGGTCGAGTACAGTGCCGAAGGTCGTCTGATCAACCCCGGCCAAGAAGACCGGGCGCTTGTGATCGCTCTGGGAGATGCGCACTTGGACATGGTCAAGCCGCGGTTCCAGCAGCTGGCATTGCACACCAACCCCATCGAATTTCCTACTATAGCGTTCAAGTCGTATGCCCACACGCCGCTGCCTAAGTGCATCTGGTGGCCTGACTACGATATGATCAAGAAAGTCCGGCCGAACGTCGTGTTCATGAGCATAAACTGGCTCGCGTATCTGCATCCAGGGGGGGCGGCGTGGCAGCCAGCGCACGAGGAGCCGCCGTGCTGCCCGCAGGGCTACGGCGACTCGTGCAAGGGCCAGAACCCTAAAGACGTCGAGGCCATCTTGACGCGGTTCCAGAGCGACCTCACCGATATGGTGAGTCTCGGGGCTAAGGTGTTTGTGACGACTGTCGCCCCCGAAGGCAACGAGTTCGACCCCAAGGTTATCTTGGACAGCCCCGTGCGCAGCGTGAACCGCTCCGTATTTCGAACCAACCACAAGTGGCTGATTGACCTCGTGGAAGGCGCGATCACTGGAGCCAACGCCACGGTCATCGACTTCTCCGAGAATTTGTGCTGGGAGGACACGTGCAGAGTAGTGGACCCGAGCGGCGTGCCCGTCCGGCGCAACTCGAACGTGTTCACGCCCAAGTTTGCAGCAAAGTACCTGAGTGTGCTCGACCAAGTGGTGGCCGCCACCATGGCCACCCCCGACGATGTCATCGCGCCCCCCGACGCCCCCAACTCAAACCGGTTCAGTCGGATTGCCAACCCTTCGTACGACAAGATCATGGCCGCCCCAAGGGACTTTAATGTGGACGTGGGCTTTTCGCCCGCGCCAGCCGACGCCCCCTTCGGCACCACCTCCCACGCGACCATGATGATGAACCCTGGCCAACCAAACCTCATATTTGCCTACGGCGACTCGCACGCGAACCAGGTCAAGCCGCGGTTTCTGCGGTCGTTCGAAGACAGACACGGCGCCCGCAACCGGTCCAACTTCCCCACGGTCGTGTTCAAATCATTAGACGCGACGCCCGCCTTGACGTGCCAAGAACACTACGATATCGTCATGGCAGTGGTGGAGCGAGTTCGTCCGAAAGTGTTTCTGCACTCGATGAACTGGCCACAGTTCCTCCGCCCTGGGGGATTGGACTCGGACCGGAGCGTTGCGGGTACACCAAAGTGCTGCGTGGCGGGATACCAAGACAAGTGCACGTACCAGCGCCCCAAGGACGTGGTGACCATCATGAACAAGTTCCAGCAAGACATGACCAAGTTGACAGGGCTGGGCATCAAGGTGTTTGTAGCCACCATCAACGTGGAAGGTGAACAGTTCAACCCGTATCACATGCTCAGCGGCAACGATGTCGGCGACGTGAGTCCCGTGTCCAAGGCCGCATTTCGACTCAAACACAAGTGGCTGCTGGGGCTGATCGAGAACGCCACCGCGGCTGCCAACGCCACTTTGATAGACTACTCGGACAACTACTGCTGGAACGACTCGTGTGGGGTGGTGGACGACCTCGGACGACCCGTCATGAAGGACACCAACCACTTGACGCGGACGTACACGCACAAGTACCTCGGCGTCATCGACCAAGTCGTCGATGCCGCCATGAAAATATAACCAGGCCTGCTGAATGAAACCTGGGACAAGCTAAAAATAGGCTGCGATATAAGGTGTGCAGAATCCCAATTTTAAAGAACTTCCCTAAAATCGGCGCCCGAAGTCTGGTTTTAACACTCAATATATATTACCGTATTACCACAATAGTACCGGTATTGTTATCCGAGCGAGTTTGCATGCTAACTGTAAAGTAAGTACTTCTGCAATTGACCGGAACGTCGTACGTCGATTCTTGGGGATTGCCCACAACCGATCGGCAACAGAGTGATGGACAGCCTTTCGCCCAACGCGCGTCTTCATCCGTGACGTTGGGTCCTTGCACGGACGGCGAGGGTCATTCAGATCCACTGAAGCACGTTTCCAGATCCGCTGCACAGTGCAGCGATGCACAGCAAAGTCAGCAGCAACCAGAGCGATTGCGCCATGAGGCAGTTTGCCACCGACCATGCGAGCAAGGAGGTGTTGGACGATGGACACTCTGTCGGCGTCGGTGAGGTTTGGCTTTTCGTTAGGTCGCATTTTGCAATATGCCGAACTTTGTTGCAGACACGCGCGCAGTTTTCGCGCCGTAACTCTGTCAATATTTGTTGGTTTTGAAGCGCCAAACGATAGAGCCAATCAAAACCTTGATTTTGCCACCGATTTGATCGCAATTGGAGCATTTTTACAGGAGTTATGACATAAAAACAGGTTTTGAATTTGTATGTACGGATGCGCTAAACATGTATCCTGAAATGTTGGTACTACAGTAGTATTTGGCTAAATTGCTTTATTATTATCACCGTTGAAGTATGGATTCTTTATATTCATGTTTCTCTTCTGATTGGTAGCTCGTTGATTCGAATTTGACGTGGTTGGATTTTGGGCGTTCTTCTCTTTCAAAATATACTACTTTCTTGAGATATCTTGAAAATTATGGTTCGTTTCTCAAATATGCTGATTGTTGCACTTAAACCGGGACAGAGGTAGTAGTGAAATTGGCCACCAGACTATTTCACTTTACATGTTAGCTAACTCGTCCAATGCAACTCGTTCTACCATTACCATTGGACGTTTTCCACGTGTACCGTGCCAAGCGAGGCGTACATGGTCTTGGCGACACCCCAATGGGCAACGGGTATGAATTTTTCGCACGTGGTTTTTCGGTGTATCGCGCGTGGTGCCATTGAAAGGGCACTTTCACGTTGTATGTTGCTGTTTGAGGCATTCACGCGTGGCTTATGGTCGTCGTATTAAATTTAAAAAAACACCGCGAAATTTAATAGTATTCCAAATTCGATTTACGTTTCAAAACATGGTGTTCGCACCAAACACACTCAGCTGCTACTTCGAAGTAGTTTGTATCAAGCTCATCGCACGCGTCTCTACTCGACACCAAGCATATCAGCTCCGGTACTTCTACATTCACAACATCATCGTTTCACCATTGATCATTGCTCATTGTATGCAGTAACGTCCCCTTCCGCTTCAACGCATCCTACAACCAGTCGTCTGCCTACACTTCAAGCACCTCGGGTCCCTCGAGTTCCCTTGTCCACAACCAGCCCAGCACCCTTCGGCACACACATCGCATTATCAGCCCACGTATGTATATATATCCCTTTGTAGCATTAGCCGATGACGTGTGTAAGTTCAGTCGAAACTACGACATGTCCCTATGACTGGTTAACTCGCCGTGTTTACTGTAGCGGTTGATGTCCAACATGCTACGTCGAGGGTCCGTTTGCTTTGTTGCGGTGGAACTGTAGTGATGACGTCGAATGTACTCAATTTAATTATGCTGTACTCATTTCGCTGTTATTCGTTGTTTCTGCACACAAGGGTGCACTGTTGACGACGAGATATATTGAAAAAAAACCGCGCATAATTAACCACGTTGACTGTGAAAGCTTCAAACATAGAACTACTACGTTCGCGCTCGCTTTCGATTACGCTTTCTACCTTTACAAACAACTATGCGACGGACTGCGCGAACAAAATCAACGCTAGGGAGTTCTCAGACCCCGATCGTTCCTTCAGCATCTGAAACGGAGCCAATGCACGTCAATACCCATATATGGACCACCTGACGCGGTTGTGACTAGAAACATGCCGTTGCCTTCCGCGAGGACGATACGGTACAGATCCCACTTCGGATCGCCACTTTGATTGGTAAGCAACTCAGACGCAAACGTCTTCAAACAAATCCGGAGCCCCCTCGCGAACCGAAACTGGACAAATGCACGTAACTTGGATGGGGGATTGCCATGGGACAGTGGGATGGAGGTGGTCATTATAAATAACACCAAATCAGCTTCAGTGGCGCGTATATGCAGGCCCAACTTGTCGCTGATAATTTTGAACGCTTGAAAAAGGCAGGTTTTTGTTGGATTTCACCAAATTCCAAAACCCGAGCGTCACGTACTCGGTATTCGGAGTACGTTAAGTTGCCAGGATGTTGCCGCCAACGCGTGTACACACCCAATGCTTCGGGACTATGTTTCATAAACCGGCTTATCACCCATGATCGTGTGCACCCCAATAGATGAGGTCGGGCCAAATGAACGAGATACTGGTGCCATGTTTTTCGCATTCTGTCTACAGTGCGTTCGTCCGCAATGAAGTCCACTTCACCAGCATGAATCGGGATAGGTGACGACACCCCAGAGGCGGTCGGTTATCTTCAGCCTGATTGCAGTAATTGCACCACTCCCAGGCCATAGGATTTGGACACGATCGCACAAGCGGTCAAAGATGGCCGATGGTTCATCCGAAGGCATTTTCGCTCAGTAATTCACATCAACGGGTACATGAATTTATATATCAGTTTGTCTATAAATACTTCTAAGTACTATGCAGTAAGACATAGGTTGTTCTTAGATATGAAAAGGAATATAGCTCACGTGGTAGGGCTCCCGCTTGGTAACCGAGTTTTATAGGGTTAGATCCCCAGTGTTGATGCCCTGGACACTGACCTGGATGTCGCAATTATTAATTCTAACTTTTGTATGGTCCAGCAATTTTTGCTTCAGTACTTGTAATGTATGATGTAATGAACTGTCGGTAGTCGTTCCATGATATTAACGTAAAGGTAGCGTACTGGTCTTTTACGTGGTCTTGCCATTGCTCGAATTTTCGTCGAAGGCATGTTGATTCATTCTCACACGTGCTGCTAAGGGGGGAAGTAGTACAAGATTCATTACAAATCGCTAAAGGCACTTGCGCAACTAAAAGTGCTCCGAGACGAAGCGCTCCTACGTATACGTGTGCTCTAGTCATACAGTACTGGCTGTACGCACAAGATGCGTATCGTGGTCCTCACGTTTGTATCACGTCTTGAGAGATCCAACGCTGCACGCAGCGAGGACACGGCATGTTCATCCCTCCTTGCGCGCTGAGGTCGATGTGTATCTGAAAGGTGATTTTACCCCATTGAAGTTGGAGGTACTATGGGATATTAAGGTTTTTAAAGTACTTAGAGCATCTCCAACGCGGGTTTCGGGGTTTAGAGCATCTCCAACGCGGGTTTCGGGGTTTTGGGGTTTCGGGGTCCCTATCCCACCTCTATACAATGTATCTCAAAACTTAGGTTGTACGGTTACTTCATGTTACAGTACGCATAATTTGGGGCTTATCCGGGCGATTTTGTCCCCAAATTATGGGGATGTCCCCAAAATGTTCAGTTATTGGGACGTCCGAGCGAAATAGGGACAAAACACCCGGATACATCCCCAAATTATCCGTAACTTCGATGGTACCACTATTGTAACAGGTTTTGGGGATAGGGACTTCGATATAGGGACCCCCGTTGGAGATGCTCTTACGACGTACAGGTGCACCTGAGAACCATTCACCAACATGACACTGCTGTGCTCCTACGGTTACCAACAAGACAGAAGCTGGTTGCACGACGAAAGCGCATTACATGGCAATGGGGCGGAGGATGGGAAATTGAGATATTTCACACCCTTCAGGAATGGTCAGCCGAGAAGATGTGTACGACACGGGATGAATTTCTTGTTAGCAGGTCGCCTCAGAACTACGTTGAATTCGCCGCCCTCAACAATGCGTACAAGTACTGTAAGTATCACCTCTCAAAGCTCACTAACGTTGTGCCAGGGAGGAGCTGCTGGTACTTAGCGTGTTTACAGGGTGGACGAGTACTGTTGGGCTTGACGGGCTTCAGCAACGCCCATATGCTGGGATCGTGTTCACGTCACGCCAAAACATGTAGAACGTAGCAATAGTTTCGAAATATCAAAACGAAGGGGTAGCGCTTGCAACCGACGGGACATACAAGCTTCACTTCGGTCCGTACATAGCATGATCCCTACTTAGGGGATAGATGCAATGATTACTAGGGTGATGGACGCTCATTGATATAGGGGTTGTGTACACAAGATTTTCCAACAACAAGTTTGGTAGCTCTTTCATGCCATGGTCGTACCTGTTTGCGCGCTCGGAATACGAAGAAGCCTACTCACAGCTACTGCGAGTATCCGCTGAAGCGTTTGACACGTTCTTCGACTACCATCTCGAAGTTGCGACGTGCTCAATTCATCACACCCAGTACATCCAAACAGCTCTCAAGAAGCAGTGACCACAAGTCCATGTTGTGTCATGCGCTATCCACATGCTGCGAAACGTTCACAAGCACAAGTCCTTGCTTTGGACCATGGACAACTACAAGGTCATTTGGGCTCAAAACCACTTCATGCGATCTGCGCGGATGTGGATGCAATTTCATGCTATTGCAAGTGTCGTCCTCATGCACTGGGAAACATCGCTCGCGGTGGAGGAATTAGCGCAGTGGTTCCAAGAAATCTATTTGCTGCCCCCCTGGGACGTTTGGTTTTTCTTTGCGTCGCTCACTCCCGGAATTCCTGCACATCAACAGCACATTGAGAGCCATCATAAGCGTATCCCAACTTCTGCAAAGCCTCGGCCTGGACGGCCTCGGCGTGATTCCGGAGGATCTTGTTTCGAGCACGGAAGCCTTACTTCAATACCTTTACCTTGTACTACGCAGCTAAGCCTGATTTGGCTGAGAAAACCTTGGGAGCTCGTGCAAACACAACGGCGTATCGTCATTGCACTTTTCAACTGTATTGCATACAAATATCAAGTGTTTTCACCGAAAATATTCAATCGTTGTGTTTGCACGAGTTTGCATGAGTTCCCAAGGTTTTCTCGACAAAAGTATGAGGTGTTTTACATCAAAAAGTAAAACTGTACCATTCTCAAATGTCCAGGTCAAAAACCAGTTGACCCAGTTTTTTCCAGATTTCACAGGCTGTATTTGTCATGGTGCAAATTGGAAGGTACCCAATCGTTCGTCCTTTCAATTGGCTAAATATGCCCCAAACAGCCCAATGATTGGATGAAATTACGAAATTCTATTCCAGAAAAACTGATGTACCTTTCTTCTATGGCCAGCACTGTAACGTTATGTATAGATAATATGGCGGATACGACAAATCCATCCGACAATAATCTGATTGGCTGATACGATAAAAAGAAATGGAAATTTGGATTGCGATCCAAGAAGAAGAGGGGATACCCCCTCTACTTACATTGGTCCGCCAGGTTTCCCTATTGGGCATGAACCCTCACAAAATAATCGGTCATTGCAATTGACCTCGAGTTCAATCCCCGCCAAAGCCACAATTCTAAGTGTATGACTTCAAGTCTATTTACATAATATTCAACCGCTTCCTACGTCTAACCTCATGAAGTGCCTTTGCGTAGGAACTTGTGAACCCTTGATAACGGTATGAGGCTTCGAACCTCATAACGTTATCAAGGGTTCACAAGTTCCTAAGTTTGGTACTTGCTAAACGCCGTTCCCAGTGTGATACGTTCAGAGTACTTCTTCCTGTCCATGCGTATCATTTCCTTTGTGTAGTCCTTGAGAGCACACACAAGACCAATGGCGGGGTCTGCGACGAACCATTGCTGCCATGCCTCCAGTGCCGACCGCGCCGTAGGTACTGAGCCACAAACTGATCAATCGAGCTCTGTCGCATAGTCGTCGTTGTCCCAAGGCTGCCGAGTGCACCTTGGCCGTGTAAGTTCTTGGCCAGCGCTTGGCCAAGATCGTCAACAGAGAACCCCAAACCGACCGGCACTGCAACACTACCGGTCTGCCATTGTATGTGGCTGGGATCGCTTCCGGTACGAAGCAGATTCCTTGGGTCGATCTCCTTGCTGATACTTTGAGTGATGAGGTACTCACAGCATGTCTTAGCATCCGCCCAACGGCACCAAGCCATCAACTCGCGGAAGTTGAAGTGCCGCTCCTTGGATTCGAAGACGCGAAAAAACGTGCCGCCTCGACGAAGACTGTGCAGAGAAATGGCGATCGGAAGGATCGGGGTACGCTGGACGACGTTGACGAGAATTTGACGCAGGTTGGCTTGTTCGAGGCCCCGGTTCCAATCCGCTCTTTTGGTACTCCAGACTGCTGGTCCACAAAGTTGGGAAACACAAAGGTGCTGCTGCTGATGTTGACACCGGCACCGGCATTTCTCACCTTTGCGATGTGCTCGTCATAGAATCCACAGACCCGCAAGCATCGAAAGGTCATCTCGTCCACGAGATGGTATACTTGGCAGTCCTCTTCCATATTCACCTTTTTGTGCCAACGGAGACGAACGGACAGGTATCGGCCATTTGCGTCGCCCACGATGTCGACATCATTCCAACGCAGAGTCAAGACTTCGCTGATACGGTAACTTCGCTGATACGAAAACAGCGGATGAAGCCAACCGCATGAAGGAGTCGGAGCATAGCGCCAACGAATGGTGGAGGTGCGCCAGAGCGTTCATGAGTGTCGATAGCTCGTGCGCGGTCTTCGTCCACATTGTGTTGCTTGTTGTACTTCTGCAAACCAACGATGTAGCGGCGGGTGGCTGCGTCTTGGATATGGGTTCGGTGTTACCCTCATTGGAGCAAAGTATGCGACAAGAGCCGACTTGGCCAAGTCTATGATGCGTGATTTACGTCCTTGTGTGTACATGTGGTGGAAGAAATCTGTGCACTCCACTGTGCCTGCCTCTCGAGGACCAGCTCCGCGCTTGGTCGATTTAAGAAACGCAACGAACTGATTGTGATACGTTTCATAGGCACGCCTCGTTGACGCCCCGTGAAACGAATCTTGGATGGTCTTCTTTGACGCCACCGTGGTCAGCTTGGTCGGCGCCATTTTGGTCCCTTGTGATTTCAACCAATGAAACCGTGTTATTCTCAATGTTCTCTGATATGTTACTGAACGACATCGGGATCGACCAAGCATCCAATGCTTCAATTATACGTTGTCTAATCACCTTTCAAGTTCATGTCGTTTCACCAATAACCATGTCCGAACTGTAGTACTAGTACTGGACACGTTAAATGTCGGCTTTTCGTTTCTTCACAGAGGTCACTCCCGCTTGCTTGGCGTAAGCGACTTTGATTTTGGCCATGTTTTGCTTGGAGACTGCAGCGTGGTCCTCTATCATCGGGGTGGGGTAATCCCTGCCTATCCAGCACTGGTACATCGTTTGAGCTTCCCTCGGGGCTTTCCACGGCTCGTAAATGTACTTTTGAGGAAAGTGCCGTAGCTCCGGCACCCATCGCTTGATGTACAGGCCTTGGGGGTCTGTCTTTTTCCCAAACGCCACTGGGGAGTAGCATTTGAAGTACTGGAAGTAAAAGTGCGAGCACGACAGCCACTGCCAGTTGCCGTTGTTCAGAGACCAGTCAAAGTCCACCAAGTACAGCTCAAACACCTTGGCGCCTTCCTCCCAATGCTGCCAGAGGTCGCCGCGCGTGAGGAAGCAGGCGGCGGCGTGCCGAGCCAGGTGGTGGATCCACCCTTCGGCCTTTAGCTGCCGCATGATGGCATCGATGAATGGGAACCCTGTCTGGCCATTCCGCCACTTGGAAATGACCGACACATCTCTTTCCCACGGAATTTGGCGGATCACTGGATTGCCCTCCATGGAGTCGAAGTTCGGAATCGTGGCACCTTGCAAGTAGAAGAACTCGCGCCACAGCACTTGGCCAGTTAGGGACACGGGCGGCAGTGTCGGCTTTACGGCGGCCTTCGAGATGGCTTCTAGGCGCTGGAACAGAAGGGCCACCGAGAGAGACCCGTGACTCAAGTACGGCGACAGCACAGTCGTGGACGGGGTCAGCGCGTTCGGACTCGTCTTGGGCTTTTCAAAGTGCTCCACCCACTTGGCTCGTTGCACGATTTGGTCGTTGAGTCGAGTTAATGCATGCGATTCCCCACCGGGATACAGCAGAGGCGCCGTTCGTGGAGGGTACGTCAGCTCCCTCAGTGTCGGCACGGTGTAGGCATTGTCGTCGTCGAAGGTAGCAGCAGGCAAGGACGGGACGGGTAAGGGCTCTCGCATGGGCCCCATGGCTCGAAAAAGAGAGCAAAACGCACCGTATGTGTGGAATGAGAGGCGGTGTCGGGTGCTGGCGGCGATGTACTCCTCTGGGTGGAACAGCGTGTGGCCGCACTTCGTTACGACGTGGATGTTCATTGTCTATTTAAGAAAGTCAGGCGTTGGTGCAAAGATCGACGACATACGCGAGCCAGATCAGTCACTTTGGCACCGAGAGCCATCGACGCTGGCTCTGAATCGAACTCGAACGTCAAGAGATTGATGTCCCACCGTTTGAACGCTTGTTCAAGCTGATCGACCGTATCGTCGCCCTGTACGACAAAGAGCCGAGAGTTCTCACGTCTGCCGTCCATGTAAGCTTATCCGAGCACAAGAGTTGATTGCTTACCGAAGACTCGCGTCAAGGTCGACGAGGGTTTCGAGGAGATGCGTATAGCGGTTGATGCCAATGTCTCGCTTCTCGAGTGCTGGCTCAAGGACGTACACGGGATATATCCGTTTGGCTCCAGCATCAACAGCAGCGTGCAGTGCTGGGTTGTCGTGAAGGCGGAGTCCTTTGCGGAACCAGTGGAGGGCTACTACCGAGTCCTTCATGCTTGGCTTTTGGACTTCGAGTGAAATCTTGAAGTCTGATCCGTAAATAGTGTGTGTAATGACAATTGAAAGAGGTGAAAATAAGATCTGGTTCCGATTGCTCTTTGATTGGCTAAAATTCCGGGTATCTAGTCTACAACGGTTGCTTTCAAAAATGATGCGAACAACCTTCGCCGCCTTCTGGCTCCTGGGCCTAGTGAACGACATCCCCTACGTGATCATGATCGCAGGAGCCAAAGACATTGCTGCAGGTGGAGTGGGCCTTGTGTACGTTGCTGAAGTGCTCCCGACTCTGCTGGTTCAGTTTTCTGGTCCATATTGGTTCCAACTTGTGTCCTATCGATGCCGGCTTTACGTCGCCGGGTTATGCATGGCTCTGAGCTTTGTCACAGTGGCATGTGGGCTTGGCACGTCGCTATTTCTCCAGCTTGTGGGTGTTTGCTTCAATGGAATTCAATCCGCCATCGGGGAATCTTCCCTTTTGGCATACGCCAGTCGCTACGACGATCCACGCCTCTGCTTGACAGCGTGGTCAAGCGGTACTGGGTTTGCAGGCATTGCAGGATTCGCATGGCTGACAGGCCTGTCCAGCTTTGTGGGCCTCCAGACCACGCTGCTGCTGGCATTGATCTTTCCCATGTGTTACCTCACCAGCTTCGAGTGGATGCTGCCGCACTTTCGCTCCCCCGAAGCTATGCCATTGGTGTCGTCGTCCAAGCTTCGTATTGGGCTCAGACAAGGGATGCGATTAACATTTAGCCTGTGGCCGTACATGGCGCCCCTAACTCTCGTGTACGCTGCTGAGTTCGCGATGATGACCGGCACGTGGGCTGCGATTGGGTTCCCATTGACCGATCCCATTGCCCGTGGATCTTTCTACCGCTCTGCCGGCTTTACCTATCAAATCGGAGTGTTCGTAGCCCGATCCTCTGGTGGATGGATTCGGTTATGTCGGGGCAGTCTGCTGTTGGTGGCGTGGTTACAAGTGACGTACTTCTGCTTCTTTTGGGTGGTGGCGCAGTTCCAAGTGCTCTACAATTGGACCCTCTTGCTGCCGTGCTTTGTCGTTGGGACGTTGGGAGGGTTGGTCTACGTGAACGCGTTCGCCCTGTTGTCCGAAGAAGTGACAAAACACACGGAATTTGCCTTGGCAGCTGCCACCGTGGCGATGAATATTGGCGTGTTGGTGGCAGACGTGGCTGGGCTTTGGGTTCAAGGATGCCTCTATTCGATGCATCACCTTCTTGGCGCCGCCTTGCATGTCGACTGTTCCAAGTAGTGCTTGAAAGATTGTTAAATTACTGACTTATATCCGACGAAAGTAGTCTTAACGACGACCAGGAATTGAATATGGGGGTTGGTTTTTCTTGAATTATCACCCCATCATTGCAAGATCACTACACGAAGTGATCATTCTTTCCCACATTCAGTTGGCGAGGCAAATTTACTTCTTAACACCAAGGATACAGACGTATCATCACAACCCCACGTCCACACAGCTATCCGTACCAGCCCCGGTAAAGGTATGTTTCGGATCGTACTCTGTGAAAAAGAGCTCCAACGATCGCCTCCAGCTACAAACTTTTGATTTGGGGCAAGCCTTGTGGTCATATTAATACTGTAAATGTCGAGGGCAGGAATGCCATGACCAACAAATTACGCAAGTTTATTGTGCTTTCGACCAAGTTCAAGAAATATCCAACAGTAAACAATTTGACGAAAAATATGAAGAGTAATTCTACAGCATTGGTTGTACAGTACTACTAGTATTAATAGTAAATGAAAGGGGTCTTGGAGTTCCCAGGTTACATATTGGTTGGTAATAGGGATACTGTTTCTATCAGGGAATTACTCGTTTGATTGAATTATATCAAAAATGTGTTATTAATATAATAACCTAGCCAAATCAACCAGAATGCTCATATTATGTACTTTTACTAGGTGTACCAGTACTACAAAACAAATGAATCACTTGCAAGGTAGTTATTCTGACCGCCTAGATTGATCATTTGCTGTAAGACTGGTGCGTAGTAATGCTGAACTACCGTTACGTATACAGTAACCAAGTGAGGAAAAATGGACGGTATCGCGTGGCCAATGCTCTCGTGGCCGGTGGTTGCCGGCATCGTGTTCTTGAACGTCTTCATCGACAGCTCTGGTGCGGGTCTCATCCGGGACTCCAGTTCGGGACAGGTCAAGGGATTGGTGGCGTCGGTGTCTGCCCTGTCTGCAGCCAGTCTCGGAGCGGCCGCGGGGTACTTGCCTCAAGACGAAGATTCACAGCTGTATGTGCTCGTTGCCATGGGTGTACTCAGTGGGCCAGCGATCAACTTCATTGTTGAAAAGGTGTCGTCGGTGGCCGAGTCTCTGGTTGGAGGCAAGGCAAAGGAGGAGGCCAAGGAGGATTAAGGCGGCGGCGATATGCATTTCCGTAGTTGTCAGTGATATAGAATATTACAGGTATATCTATTTTAGAGGTATAAAAAAACACAAGTCCTTGTCATTTTCCCCTCGCCACAGCCTCAAAGGAAGCACGCATGGACCTATACACTGCCAAGGTCGAAGCGGCGGCGTCCGGTGACCGAAAGAGTTGCGTGGACTTGTTGGAGTACGTGCGAAAGGAGAAGATCCGCGTCCCAGAGATTTCCTTGAAGGTGGGCAAGAAGCTGATTGCCGACGGCGGGCTCCCGTCGGATGTGTTGTACACTGTCTACGAGCAAACCATCCTCGCCGCCCTGGACTTGAACGACCTGGACGTGGTCAACAGCTTCATCCCAGTGCTCAAAAGCCGCTTCCCAGACAGCTCTCGCGTCTTGCGTCTCGAGCTGATGGTGCTGGAGGCGAACGGCAAGTACTCGCAAGCCGACGCGTTCTACCGTGACATGCTGCAGAAGAACCCTTCTAACATGCTCATCGTGAAGCGTCAAGTGGCCATCTTGAAAGCCCAAGGCAAGATCGACGAAGCCATCGAGCAGCTCAACAAGCTTCTCAAGAATTTCCAGACGGACGCCGGCGCGTGGAGCGAGTTGGCCGACCTGTACTTGACTGTAGGCAACTACACCAAGGCGGCGTTCTGCTTCGAGGAGCTCATCTTGACCAACCCATTGAACGCGTTCTTCCACGAACGCCTGGCCGAGATCTACATCACCATCGGCGGCTACGACAACCTCAAGGTCGCGCGAAAGCACTTGGCACACTCGCTGGAGCTCAACGACACCAACAACGCCCGCGCTCTCATGGCGCTGGTTGTGGTAAGATGACATTGGCTATATGAAGGTGATGACACGATCGTGGTGTGTAGTGTACGTCGACGCTGGCTACCCTCAAGACCAAAGCGGATAAGGACGACAGGGAGCTGAACCAGCGACTGCACCAGTTTGCCCTGACCAAACTGAAAGGATCGTACAATGCCCAAGCCAACTCCGACGTAACTAGCGTGGGTACGTAATCCTATACTACCGTGATAAAGTATCTAATATTCTACTGCTTTGTAGTGGAACAAGTGCTGGATTCGACCAAGGAAGCGTTTGAAGAGTAGTACAAATAATATCAACATATTAACGAAATATGCGTCACAATTGCTTCTTTCTTGGTATCCTGTGTACTACGTAGTATGGATTATGGGAGGGTTCCAAACTATACAACGGATGTCGTCGGGGGCTGCTTTGTGACTTGGATACATATTTGAACTTGGTGGATAAAGTCGCATCAAAGAAAGGCAAGTACGTACTGGGTCTTCTCATCCGAATGGACTAAGCACACTGTTCGAATGTCCTCCAAACTGATCAATGGCGCAGTTAAGTGCACAGGAATGGATAATCTTGACAACTTTGAAACAAAGTTGGATGAGAAGAGGGATTAATTGCAAGGTACATACAATACGACTGACGATTACATGCACTCACATTTAAGATCAATCTTGGGAGGTCCGAGTGACCCGAGGAGGCAATTGTAGGCGGCAGCCACGTGTGTCGTGGTGTTGGGGGCTCGAAGGTATTACGCTCAATTTTCCTGGGTGTTTGTTTCTATAGCAGTGCGACGCCATCCCAAGTAAATATCAATGCCAGCAACTCATTCATTCGATATCTACAGTTAACGTAGATGGCCAATTTATTTGGTGCATTTGAAAGAGACCTCGTCGTAGAATGCAGCGTCTTACTCGTCTCTCACGACCAGGATTTCAATTCTGAAAAGTGCTGCATGCAGCCGAAAGGTTGGACATTCTTCTGATTATTTAATCGGCTTAAATAGACTTCAGCTTAACATTCATTTACTTGGATTTTCATCATGTCACCACTTTCTCAGCTGCATTTTTCTATTTATAGCGTTGCACTTGCAGTTCGGCCAATAAGACGCATTCTAGGTCTAAACCAATAAGCGTGTGTCATTCTGTGATTGCACAAACACATCAGTCAAATTCATAAAGTTCGAAATGTTACATTGCGAATCTGTATGGACCTGGTTATATGTCAGAACCTAAGTTTAGAATAACTACACAAATGTATACATGCATTATGGATTCCTATCAGGGCTCTCATAAAATACACTTGAAAATTGATTCAAAATATATGGCAAAGCAAAACGTACTTGAAGAAGTCCATACTTAGATGAGCATCGATCCAAAGACCTTCCCTCTGGTTGCGCATACAAAAGGTTGCAACGCAATGATGATCACAATCGGATCTTCCGTCGCCATGGCACCACTACCTCCCATGAACGTGATCGAAAAGATCTTATGCCACCACGCCGTGGGTCTCTCCGTCCCGTGCGTCCAGGAAGGCGACGTCATCTGCGTCAAGTCGGACTGGACTCTCGCGAGCGAACTCACGTTCCAAGGCATGGACACACTCTACTCGTCCATCGGGCGGCCGCCGCTGCATCGTCCGGATCGTTTCTGGCTGGCCGTGGATCACACCGTCGACCCTCGCGTGAACCATCTCCCCAAGCAGAAGGCGCTCATCCAAGTAGCGACCGATTTCGCCGAGGAGCATGGATTGACTGACTTTTGGGGACCCAACACCACCATCATGCACACAGAATTCGCCCGACAGCGCGCGCAACCAGGCCAAATCGTCATTGGCGCCGACTCGCACACATGTAGCGCCGGTGGCATGGGGGCATTCGCGACTGGTCTTGGCGCGGGGGACGTCGTCATGCCGCTGGTGACCGGCCAGACGTGGTTCAAAGTTCCTCCGGTTGTGTACATCGAGCTCGTGGGCACGCCTCCCCTCGGCATGGGCGGGAAGGACGTGATCCTACACATCCTCGGAGCCCTCAAGCGCAACACGGTGGCCTTCGAGCGCGCGGTTTACTACGGCGGCGACGGCCTGCGCCACCTCTCGGACGACGCGCGCTTCGCCATCGCCAACATGACAACCGAGTTTGGCGGTATCGCGGGGGTGTTTGCTGCCGACGCGGTCACGGCGGCCGTCTGCGCCAAGCGAAGTTCCCACAAGGACGAAGGGCTGTACTTTACGCCGGACGCCGACTGCTCGTACGCGGCGCACCACGTGATCCGCCTCGACGACGTGCGAACCACCGTGGCCATCCATCCGTCGCCAGACAACTGCGTCCGGATCGGTGAGGTCGCTGGCATGGCTCTGGACGGATGCTTCATCGGCGCCTGCACCACGACCCAGGAAGACCTGATCTTGGGCGCGCTGGTCTTGCAGCAAGGGTTGCTGGCTGGCCTCCCCATCACGCCCGGCAACAAGCGGGTGACCCCGGGCTCCCTCCAGATAGTTAGCCATCTCAACCAGCTGGGGCTTCTGTCAATCTACGAAGCGGCGGGGTTCACCGTCGGCGTCCCGTCGTGCTCGTTCTGCGTCGGCATTGGCGCTGACGTGGCACTCCCTGGTGAAGTCTGGCTGAGCAGCCAGAACCGCAACTTCCGCAACCGGATGGGCAAGGGCTCCATCGGCCACCTCGCGTCCGCCGCCGCCGTCGCCGCGTCCAGCTTCCGCATGCAAGTGACAGATCCTGCTGATCTGCTGGGGCAGATTGATTTTGCCCTGTTTGACGCGTACCGCCAGTGGAACACCAGCAACGACACAGCGTCACACTCTTTTACAGTGTCACAGCCGTCGCCGGACCTGTCGCCCGTCGTGTTCACCCGTCCTCCTCCTCGGGTGGCGACGACGTCCCCGTCGGAGGCTGATCAGACATCGGAACCTCATGCGATTATATGTGGCCGCGTGCAGGTGTTTGAAGACGACGTCGACACGGACGCGATCATCCCCGCGCAGTTTATGGGTCTGAACCCGTCGTCACCGCTGTGGCCGGCCGACTGCCGCACCGAGGAGGACGTGCTCGCGAGCTACTCGTTCGCGTACACCCGTCCGGAATTCGTGCAGAGGTGCCGAGACGGCGCCACCATCATCGTCGCAGGCACCGCGTTTGGCTCGGGCTCGTCGCGCGAAGAAGCCGCGCGGTGTCTCAAGGCCCTCGGCGTGCAGGCTGTGATCGCCAAGTCATTTGCGTACATTTACGCGCGCAACCAGCCCAACAACGCGCTGCTGGGTATCGTGATCACGGACCCCGTCTTCCACAAGCTGGCGGTGGAAGGCGCCCAAGTGTCGGTGGACCTGCCGCGCCGCGTGGTGCTGGTGGCCGGCCAGTCGTTCCCGTTCGCCCTCACGGCCCTCGAAGAGGCTTTTCTCGTCGAAGGAGGACTCACGCAGCTGTTTAAGCGGTATAAAACTGACCTCTTCCGTGCCGCCATGCAGCCCAAGACATCCAATAAGTCTTGCCAGGCCACATGTGGCGATAGCGTGGAGGCGTGGTAGGAAAGATATATGTCGATACATAGTGTAAATTACAACTAGAGAACCATACGTCACACATTTGAAATGCCCTTGAATGTGGTCATTTCACACATTTGACATGCCCTTTGTAAATGTACGAAACAAAGTCTCAAAGGTTTTCTACGGTAGTACAGTAAAGTAAGAGTTTAGGGCATCCCCACCGACTGTATAATCAGACTGTAAAGTACCGTTTTAAAATTCCTGTATTTTGATTTTCGTCAACCCCACCGCAGTGGAACCAAATATCATGATATACAACTTATTTATATTTGGGGTAAAATTGTATTCAAGATTTTGGTTTCAAACGTTATACGTTATATGTGACAGGATATGCTGTTTCAAAGTGGGTTTCAATGCCAGAGTTCAAACTCAGATTTTTCAACAATTCTTATTGGACAGGAAGTTACTGTATGTACCAGTACTACTAGTATTACTACATTTGCAATACTATTACTAGTAAAAGTGAGTTTACGTCACACATTTGACATGCCCTTATTATATACATAATACACTGTTATAATTGTTTCTCGTACACCAACAGATACGCGCATTGGTCAGAACATGGGCCGCCAAAGCAGTCGGCTTCGACGTTTGTATGGACATCCCACGGCCGCACGATGGTGTCGTTGAATTCCATCCACAAACTCGTAGAGTTGTCTTGAATGTACGCCTTGTAATGACCTGACGACGCTTGGTCGCCACAGTGCACGACGACGCCCCGCAGGATATACTGGTCGTCTAGCGGAAACTTGATGGGAAACGCCAGTCGGGACGGCACTTTGTCCGTGGCCCACGTGTGGTAGTTGAGTGTGAACCGATTGAGGTGGCACACCAGCAGACTTGGCATCGTCTCAACCGTCGACTGCTTGGAGATGGTCACGCCGGTCGCGCGTTCGTCCCAGTCAAAATCGCAGATTTGTTCTGTAGCTGTCCACTCGGCCAGCGATTCCTCCAATGACGTCACCCCCACGACATCCAATGACAAGCAGTGGAACGCGGCTATGCTGGTGCGGCGGGCGCCTCCGTAGCGCAGCGTGTGGCGGATGGCGCCAGACACGCAACCCACCGCCGGATGGGACTCGAGGAGGTTCATGAGCAATAAGAACACTTGCTGGATGTCCTGCTGCTGTCCAGCTTCCAGACCAGAAGCAGCTAGCACGGCCGAGGCGTCGATGGAGGTTCCGTCGTTCAGATGAAGACCTTCAAAGCACTCAACCAACGCGTGCTCGATGGCGTTGGTTGGAGGCGTGCAAAGGATGAGGTCCCGGAAATGGGGGCGCCAATACAGTTGCTGCAGTAAACTGTTCAAGAAGCACATGTTGCCAACGTTAGTCAGGCCCGACGGTCGACGAGGTGAGCTGAGAGGAGGTTGCCACGTGGAAGTATCGACAGCGACGAGAGAAGCGTCCTCCACGTTGTCCTGTGCAATGTCCTGAGACCCACGATCGATCCACATGTCTTCCTCGTCCGAGTCGTCGAAGCTCACACAAAGGAGGTTATCAGTCTCGTCGACCACTTGCGCGCGTCGCCACTGGCCGTTGGAAAACACCGACAACCATGACCCAAAGGATACATGTGCTCGCCATGCTTCTTCATGGATCCCGTTGTCCGTCGATGGCAACGCGGCTGGGAGCGACTCGACGGACACGCCGCCTTGACCCGCGTCGCTGTCGGAATCGTGCATGATTCCCATCGAGTTTTAAACGGTTTTAAACTTCATCTTAACAATTCATCTAATCGCCGGGGTTTCGGGTTTCACGATTCCAACAACCCCGAAACCCCAGCAACGTTTCGGGGTACTTACTAGTAAGTTAAGATACTACTAGTACTCCGTACTATAGTACTACCTCTGTCCGAAAGTAGTTGCAACATTTGAGATTGTTGAATTCCGAAAATGGTTGCAAATATCGCGAGTAATTCACCTGGAATATGTTGAATAATATTTCAACGATTGAAATTTGGTACGAATTGCTCATATGACTGTTGTTCCCCAAATTTAAAGGAATCACTCTTGGGTGCAGATAATGTGAAAATACCGGACAAAATGTACGATACTACGGATAAACCGGATAAGCGTGGAACCCAGTTCCGGATAGAATCGTTACATCCAAAATATATAGGATAAAGTATCAAATTTGGCCGCACTCCGGATAAATACGTTACATCGTGGATATCTTGGATAAAGTAATAAACTTGGATTCTTGATTTACTCTTTCGATTGAGGGTACTCTGGGACGGTATAAGTTTATTCGTATTAACCTTGAACTCCTCTATCAAAGCATACCTTTAGATTTCGATATTTTGATAATCTTGACTCTCATTATTAAATTATTCTGAATGCTGCAACTACTTCCGGACAGAGGTAGTAGTACTTACTCCGGAGAACTGTACAGCACTCGACGCTGGAGAGTTGAGGGGTGTGTGTTATTGAATGCCATATCGAGGTTTCACGGGCACTGGTCGACTGGCGACGATACTAATCACATGTGCATCGAGTTTCTCAGGTGACTCGAGCGCGCCTTGGGCGCAGACGGTGTCTCCCACCCGCAAGTGTCGCGCCACGTCATCGGGGTTGGCCACATGTCCCTGCGTCATATTCGCGCGACTGAGCACCACTTGCATGGCCACTCCGTTCACACTCACGTCCAGAAACGTCAGCTTTCGACTTTTGATGCGAACGCCGGTGATCTCCCCCACAATCTACATACATTTAGTGTTAGGAGGAGTACTAGTAGTACTAGTAGTAGGTACTCACTCGTGGAGCAGCTTGGTCGGGAAAGTTGGTCGCGACTGCGTTTAAATCTGCCAGCACTTGGTCCCTGGACGGCGCAGTGGGTTTCGGGGCTTGTTGTCGACACACGAGTACAAACGAAGTGCCCACGGAGTGGCTCTCCAACCTCCACTTGAGCTGGGGGCTATAAGTCTCGTATTCAAATCATAAGACCAGACCCATTCCTCTCGGTACGTACTTTGCAAAGTACGACGTGCCTTTGAGTTTGCGACGGGGGGTCACACACACAAACACCCCGTTCGGATTAGTAAGCGTGCTTTGGAACGACTGACACAGCTTGAGCACGAGCGCCGACGACACGCGCGACTCAATCAGGTACATGCATTCATGCAGCATCCCCAGATCCAGCACCAAGTCGTACTGGCCATTCAATTGAAACGACTCAATCAGAGTAGTACCACCGCCGACATTGTTAGCTTGGTGAAAGTGAGATGTAAACTCTTTGGAGGCATCGCCGAGGACTCCAATGCGAAGGTTGTCGCGGAGGACGAGCAACCTGCATAACTTTATAAGAACAACCACAAGGTATGAACGAAATGAACGTACGGTGTTAAGATTGACAGTAGCGGGCCCCATAGCTCGGAAGTGCCGATACTTCCGCGGACCATCTTGACCAGCGTGTCGTCATGAAGGAGCTGCAACGCGGCCGACTTGGCGTCGATGCTGTCCTGCGGACTCACAAAGGATTTGACCACGCAGCCAGTCATAGCTTTAGTCGATTGATTCAGCCCGACGCTGTCGATGCCAGCATTGTGACGCCACAGTCGCACCTGATAGTGCAAACTCCTTGAGAAAACTGTCTAAATGCATGCTGAATACGGTACTTCGCGGTGGTCGGAGAGGATGCTGTAGTCGTCGTACACGATATCTGGGTGTCTATACATGGTATATGGTCATATACGGCTGTAGTACATGTAAATGACGACTTACCGTTGAAAGAGTTGCTCTTGGTTGCCATACCAATTGCAGCTGAGTTCTCAAGTTAGCGTCGCTGTTGCATGGAGTAACGAGGGGTTTTACCATGGAACGGTCACGACGCCGACGATCGTGTCTGCGTGGACGGAAGCCAGCGCTTGGTCCAAAGTGACGTGGGCATGCACCAGCACGACGATGGCGCGGCGCAGGTGGATCTGGATGTCTTCGATCTTGGCTCTAATGGGCACGACCTTCTGAATCCCGTCCCAGGGAACTCGTTCCTACAAGACTCTCGTGAGCATGGATATATGCACGGTGTCTCCTTACGGCGTCCGTTGACAGGCGCATCTCCGGGTCAACGCTGTAGCATGTCCAGCCCTTGGTTCGGTAGGCAAACATGGCCGCCGTTCGGGCTAGTCAGGAGCATGAGATCGTCATGTATCGTCGCCAAGACGCATTCGTACGAGTAGACCCGTCGCCCACCACGACGATCCCATCCACCGAGTCGTCGGCGTCGTCCAAGTCGAGGAAACGGCGCGCCGCGTTGAAGAGACCCATGCTCTCGGAGATTTCTTTGGCGTCGGGAAAGATCTGGAGTTGCAGCAAATGAGACGCACACTGCAACTTTCCCACGAACTCATTCAAGTAGCGCAGGGACATGGGCGGAGCATCGTCGGTGCCATAAGGATTGACCCAGTTGGACTTGGACACGTTCATAATTCTCGACAACCAACCGCAATAGTATCAATAAATGCTGACACTCAAGGAAAAACCTGTCGAAATTTATATTGCCCGGGAGGACATTTGAAAGTTGTGATGACCGATGAGTACCTTACACAAGGAGCTCATTTCATCTTTGCAGCACCGGCAAGCCAACTTAAGCCGTCGTACATCCACATGCATGCTACATCTTCATAACTCACATGTTCACAGCCTCATTTCATGCAAGGTGGTCTGGGTGCAAGTTCATCGTCATAAATGAGCATTCATCTATTTGTCGTGAGCTCAGAAACATGAAATCATATTCCAACAACCTGGCGCCGCCGCCCGTGGTGGAGGAAGGAGGCGGGCATGGGCTGATGGTATGTACCCAGGAAGCCCTCGTATTCAAGATGGCTTTTTTCATCAACGACACCGCCAGTTTCTTTGCCTTCGTATCCGCCATGCGTCCGCTGCAAGTGTTGGGTCCCCTCGACCGATACGTTATGCCACTCTACACGTTACGGCCTGAACTGACCATGAAACAAGACCTCAACAACATGGACGAAAGTAGTCGACTTCATCTGAGGGATATTGCCAAGTACGTGACGCAAGTGACCGTCGTGGACTGGACCGACCTTGCCTGGTTGCACCATCATGTGCATCCATAGGTGGACATTCACTGGGTGATCAGCCAGTCAATTGGACTACGACGACCGAATAGTACGAGCAGTGGCGTCTGCTTCGAATCACGCGTGTCGCCGACGACCGAATAGTACGAGCAGTGGCGTCTGCTTCGAATCACGCGTGTCATCGCGTCGTACATCGACCTCGCCGATCAGTTTCCATCTTCGCTGGCACCCCACCTCTCCCATCTGACGTCGCTAACTCTTACTGTATATGGGCCACCCTGAGCTTCTACCTGCGATCTTTGCATTTTCTGCTTCACCCGCCCAGCTGATAGAGCTCAAGCTACTGCGCACCAACAGGTACATAGTGACCGCCCCGATGCTTCGCGACACCGTTAAGTAGCTGACAGCAGCTCCAGTGGAGCACTTGTATTTTCGCAATTGGAAACTGCAAGACTTAGACAACGTGGCTCTTAAGCAAGCGATTTATGCCGCCGTGTTCAACTGCCCTACCCTCAAAGCCTTAGCATACGAAGAATTCATGGCCAATTTGCAATCCCTGACTTTAGTGGCTGGCAAACTCAATACAAGGTCGATTCAAGCGCTCGCTGGGAAATTTCCAATGTCGCCAATGTCCCAGTTGACGCTCCACAACCCTGGCGATAAGGATAACCGTGGCCTAGAATGCCTCTTGCAAGCCCTACTAACTCCCTAGTCACAAGCCTTGACTTGAGTGGGGACTACTTTTCAGACAATTCGTGGCAGCCCTGCATTTCAGTCCTCGGTCCATCCCGCCTTGAAGTTCTGGCTTTGGGCTCGTTTTGATGACTGCAGCTGTGTGGGTCTTTTGGCTGCAGCTGTCGAGGCCAACAGCACCTTCCGCTCGCTCAGTACGACACTCCAGTATGAACATGTTCACCAGTGCTGCCCAAGTCCTGCTCGAAAGCTCCACGCATGTCGACCGGCGTGTAGCGATGTGACAGGTGGGTTAACGGCTTGCCACCACTTTGCCCGCACCCAGCTCCTAAGTACCTGGCTCATAACGCACCCTAGCTCATGCTTGCCTGGGAACGTGTCTCAAGGGCAAGTATGGCTTAGAATCGCTAGCCTAGTGAAGTTCCCCAATGTCTCAACCGCACCCCCATCCATTGTATACAAAAGTGCATATTAGTGTAGAAGTAGTGAAGTAGATTAAGAAGATTTCATAGTGATGAGGATTAAGGAGATCTTTGTAGATCTTCAGTTAATTCATTGTGCATTTTGCCCTCAACTACACACGCTTCCTCCCGCAGTGGTACACGGCGAGGGAAGATGCTCTCAATTGACTTTGGCGACACAAACACCAAGACAAGTTGAAGAAGGATTTTCTTTAGCGAAATCAAGCGATCCACCACAACCCAATGTTTAAGGACCGCAGTTAATGCAATTGCGTGCACGGTTGATAGAGAAACTGAACCTGAATTCACCAGTTTTGGTCAAGTAACAATCAGTGTAAACTCTTAGC